CCACCAAAGAAAAAAATAGCATCAGGGTAAAGAACATGTCAAGGATATGGCTAGGCCAGGTGTGGCGACTCACACCTGTAATCCTAGCACTCTGGGAGGCTGAGGCAGAAGGATCACTTGAGTTCAAGAGTTCCAGACCAGCCTGAGCAAGAGTAAGATCCCATCTCTACTAAAAATAGAAAAATTAGCCAGGTGTAGTGACATGCACCTATAGTCGCTGCTACTTAGGGGGGCTGAGGCAGGATCACTTGAGCCCAGAAGTTTGAGGTTGCAGTGAGCTATGATGATGCCACTGTACTCTACCCAGGACAACAGAGCAAGACGCTATCTACAAAAATAAAAATAAAAGATATGGCTATAAAACCTTTTATTAAGACTTCAGAAAGATTTAAGGGGTGCCTAGTAGAGTCTCCAATCTAAACAAAGGACTTTTAGGAATCTCAAGGTTGTTATCCCACAGCCCTAATATTCTGTCCAAAGAAAAGAGAAATTTGTCTTGAAAAGAATTATGCATGTGGCACTTGGAGCATATAGTAACTGTCAATCAGATTTATAAAGAAACACAAAGTTTTTTAAGAAAATTGTACTAACCTGTATTAAAAGGGAAAGAGTTCAAAATGAAAAAACTTTCTATTGGCAGAAAGCAGGGTGAGAAGCCTACTTAGCTATAAATCCAGGCTATTTCTCATAGACCAGACAGTGCCTCTTCAAGAGCAGAGTCAAGAGCCTGGAGAGAGGATTCAAGAGCTGAAAAGTACAGTAATTTAGGGAACCAATTTAGAAAGCAGAAGTGGACAGGTGGATTTCTAACCCTCAGAGTGGAATACTCTGATAACATTTGTCTGGGTGGATTTCAGGTCAGTGGCCACTATGTGCTTCCCATTTCCTCATCTTTCTTAAGGGGGATGTCTATTGCAGTTATCCTGTCCCCATCTCACGATTATATGTTGAGGATTGAGGAATAGATAAATTGTCTTTTTAGTTCACAGCTCTCTGAGTCTAGAGGCACTGAAGCCTCAAGGAGTCTCATCTGTTTCTTTACCTGATACATAACACAAGATTACGGACTTCACAGCTGGTGTCATGATTGGATGAGATTTGGGGAGTTTAGGAAATGGGTAAATATATTTTGAATATGAGAGAGATGGGAATCATTGAAGCCAACAGACACAGTAAAGAGAAGACAATCCATAAACTGAGAATAAAACTAGATCAAACATTGAAGAAGCACAAACACGCTCCCTAAATTGGACATGAACTGAGTTAAAGCAAGACATGATGGGGAGGGGTGTTTATCCAAAGCCAAAAAGGCAGATGAGTGGAAAAACCTGAGCAGTGTCTATCAAGACTTCAGAGACCAGATCCAGCAGGTAGTGACAAAGAAATAGGGAAAAGAAAATTTACACATATACATGACAAATATAGTCAAGGTTCCACCGACAGAAGTGCTGTAAAACCTTTGTGTAGGTTCACATCTCTCTCTGTAAGCAGGTCTCTACTGGGACAAAGGAGTTAGAGCAATCCTTAGCATTTTCATATCCTAGTTTCGGAATCACTCCCAGAATTCAAAACTATGCATCCAGGCTCTGAACCTCATAGCAATCTCTCTTTCTTTCTTTTTTTTTAATCCCTGCACATTACCTGAACCCACATTACACCTGCTCCTGAACTTCATCAAGACCTCAAATTATTCAACCCTGGTCTATTTACTCAGCATGTTGCCCTCTCTGGAGTGTTCTTTTAAGAAACTAGCACTGATGCAGCACCCCCACCAACATCTTCCCTTTGGCCTTTGATCCCAGTCTGCATCCCAATCCCTGATCCAATCCTGAATCAATTATCTTTCTCTTTGCGACATAAACCTAAATTTGAAGCACTTGATGGAGAATAACAAAAACCTAGACCAATTTTATCCCAATTACCTCTTAAAGGTTCTAATTTCGGCTAAACCCTTAAGAGTGCTCTGTAATTTTTTTGCTTATACCTTCTCCTTAGAGCAGCAGTACCACTCTCTTCAAGACATATCTTGTTACCTGCACACCTCACTCTGCCAAAACACAGATCTTATCCTTTCACTGACATTTCTAATACTTTTGATGGCCTACAAAATATAACCTAGGGTCTTTATCATAGCCCTTCACTGTCTACCTCAGTTAACTTTCATCCCTCGCCTCCAATACTGGCCCTAATAATGCCTTTGCAGTATTTAAGTAAGTCACACATCAGACTACTTAACATGTCTGAATGCATCCTACATTTTTATGCTTCTGCTTTTCCTTGTACTTTTCCCATTTCCTGCAAAGGCTTTCACTGTTAAACCATGGTATAATTAATTCTCCCTCACCAGTATTCCCAGGACACTTTATACATATCTACATAATGCTGTTATTGCATTGTATAATTATACTATAATTATGTGTTTAGCTGTTTTATTACTAAGGCTAGCTTCTAAAAAACAAGAATAATGTGTCATTTTGCTATTTTGTTTGCATTGTTCAGGGGTAGGTTTTTTGGGAGGAGTGGATGGTGAGGAATATCTTTTACAATTCTCAGATTGATCAGCACATAAATAGCCCGCAATAAATAGTTCTTAAAGGAATAAATGAGAACAAAGAAATATGAAAGCAGAAAGGAAGTCTCAGAGTCAGAAAGACAGTTAAATAATATTGGAAAACGCTATGAATATGTTCATACTATTACAATCAACACATATAGACCTGTTTTACTACCTTAAACATTCAATTAGGTATTGGCTTCCATTTGAATACCCTTCTCAGTTTACAACATAATCTTTATTTTATAGTACAAAAGTAGTTACTTTATAGGCCTCATGAAAAGAATAGAGCTATTAAGTAATAAACCTCCTACAGAGAGTAAAATGGTGGTTACGAGAATGGATTTGTTTTATCAATTATTTGTTATATTGTTGTTGTAGAGAAGTTTATTAAACTTCAGTGGCTCAGTTTTCTTACCTATGAAAAGAAAGGTAATAACTGTACCTACCTCTAAGTTTAGCTGTGAGGATTAAATGGCTTAATATTTGTAAAGCACTTACTATAGTGCCTGCAGAAGTAAACACTCAGAAAAGATGAATATTATTATTATTGTTCTAATTGAAACAGCAAACTTGTATGTTCTCATGAGGTCTTGATAGAACTGAATTTTACTATCTTGACACTTCACAATGTTTTTACAAAAGCTATTTGTGTGTGACTCCCCTGCCCCCAGGTTATTTACAATACAAAGTAAATTAAACTATGCCTCTAGGAGCAAATAGTTTAACCAGAGGACAATATGATTGAATATCAAGATCAAACAGACACCTGAATATAAATAAACATTAGATAAAAAATACTGTGGATAACCAGGGGAGTAAGTGCACCATGTGGCTAGATCAACAAATTGGCAAATATTTGTGCTAAGTAAAGCCTGCAGAAGCTTTCTCTCTCTCTGATTATCAAGAAGGCTACATATAACTGATGAGACTACAGATTCTGCTTAAAAAGTAATCTTGATTATTTCCCAGTGAAGACATTGAAACTATAGAATCCAGTTTATGTTCTAAGAGTAAAAGAGACATGTGTAACTTATTCTATGTCCAGTAAACCAGAGGTGGTCCCCAGCACCATGAGAACACACAGTGGTAACTTAAGATTCATAAAGAAACATGAAGGAATATGGTCAGAGGCCATGCCTGAATTAATGAAGGTAAATAGTCTGTTAAATTTCTAATTGTAAATAGCAAGAAAAATAAGACAAAAAGAAATTAAAACCCACTTGTGATTGGCTGCATTTGTTTTCCTATTTTCTTTGTTGTCTATAACTTAATTAATCTGCTGAGTTTAATATTAAAGTTTAATGTTTAAAGTTAAAAATCTAAGTTTAATATTAAAAAGATGCTTGGTAAACTATAAGGTAATTTATATGACACATAAATCTTATCATACAATTCTAAATACAACAAAAATTTTGATTTTTTTTCTTGGCATTAAGTACCATTTTATTGAGCTTAATTTAAATGCTACAATGTGACACTTAGAGAAATCAGTTGAATTGCAAAATAATTCACCTGCTAATTTTAAGCTGGTCCACTTTTCTATAGAATTAATTTTGATTATGGAAACTCACACAAGGTTTCTCTTCTTTAAAATTCTATACAAAAGGTAATTTCAGGGTTATCTCCTGCCAAAACTGTTTATCAGGCAAATTAAAGTGGAGAAAGTTATCATTGCCTATAGTATGAAAAATGTCAGCACTTTCAATCAATTCCTATAACACTAAATAAACACTGTTATGAAGGAATTAGCCAATTAAAAATATATTAAGGGTTTTTAAATTAAATATATAGCACAAATTTTATGATGCAAGAATGGAGGAAAATTAGAAGGTAGAAATTAATTAATCTACCATGTTTCCAGGGGAAATAGCTAAGGACTGTGACATTCACTGATACTGCAAACACACATCAAGGATTTTAATGACAGTCCTGATGGTGCCTATGAGCACATCATTATGTCTCAGGCCCTGTGATCCAATATTGATTTTAGGAAATATGGTCATAGCATAACTCTTACAATAGGCTGAAAAGAATGGAAACAATGTGAGGGACAGAAAGTGAATAGACCGAGAGCACAAAGTCCAAGAGCTACATGAAGACAACAATAAAGTAAATATAATTTAAGGAATATGAAAGTATAGTAATGGTTATAACCAAGAATAAAGTTTCAGGTTTCTACTTCCTCTTTGTCTTCTCCTAAGACACCTGTAGCTGCTAAAGAGTTATTAAAGAGAAGAAGATCGATGGGGAAAAAATAAGCTATCTTTTTAAAGGTATTAATCTTATTTTATTACACTCCCAATGCTTTTATTTTACTTGTAATTAAGTAATAACATGGACTAAAGCAAAAAATATAAGCTATGTGTGGAGAGTTCTCTTACAGAAGTAAGGTAACCTGGTTGTTACAATGGTGACTTATAAAGAAGAATAATTTCCATTTCAGGGTGAGTACTATTCTGAACTCTCCTTACTGACAAGTTCGCTTGGTAAGTGGGTTATTTGGTCACGTATGTCATTGTTATAATGGGTAGTGTTGTATGGTTATTTGACTCCAAATAATCTTATTTTATCCTTTTAAACCAAATAAACTACTTATATCCACAAAGTCTACTAAACATTCTGACATTTTCCTAATTTCATAAAAGGATCATGGAATGCTAGAGATTACAAAATATTTTTTTGCTTCTTTCCCTCTATATAACCTCTATATCCTGAAGTAAATATACTAAGATTTACTTTAGTCTCCACAGCCCTATGATAATGTTCTCTATGTAACTTTGAATTAAGTACAAAGCTGTTTATCATTTTGAATACTGCCTTTAATGTAATATATTCTAATATTACATTATACAATGCACAAATGTATACTAATGACATACGCTTTTAAACTTTTTCTGCTGTGGACAAAGAAAAAACATAGCTATGATTACTACAGTTTTAAAAAGCAATTGTATAATGGTAGAGATTTTGCTGAGTAACAGTCTATTTATTCATGAAAATTGTTTAATTTGAGCTGTATTTTAAGAAATGTTTTGGAATTTACTGTTTGTTACAGTTCTCACTGGATTTCTCTTAAATTAAATGAAAAGGAAAAGAAAGCCTGCAATCTGAACTTCATTTTTCAATTCCTAGAATATTCTGGAAAAACATATGCATATACTTTAAAAAAGTATTCTGAAAGGAAGAGAAAAATTCTTGAAGCCTTCTCTGAACTATTTTTTTCTTACTTCCTTTCTTACAGGTATCCATTTTTCAGCTATATTAATCTTTTAAAACATAAAAAATGGAGTTCTTAAACTCATCCGATCAAAACTTGACCTCAGAGGAACTGTTAAACAAAATGCTACCCAAAATTCTGGTGTCCCTCACGCTCTCTGGGCTGGCACTGATGACAACCACCATCAACTCCCTTGTGATTGCTGCAATTATTGTGACCCGGAAGCTGCACCACCCGGCCAACTATTTAATTTGTTCCCTTGCCGTCACAGATTTTCTTGTAGCTGTCCTGGTGATGCCCTTTAGCATTGTGTATATTGTGAGAGAGAGCTGGATTATGGGGCAAGTGGTCTGTGACATTTGGCTGAGTGTGGATATTACCTGCTGCACATGCTCCATCTTGCATCTCTCAGCTATAGCTTTGGACCGGTACAGGGCAATCACAGATGCCGTTGAGTATGCCAGGAAAAGGACCCCCAAGCATGCCGGCATTATGATTACGGTAGTTTGGATTATATCTGTTTTTATCTCTATGCCTCCTCTATTTTGGAGGCACCAAGGAACTAGCCAAGATGATGAATGCATCATCAAGCACGACCACATTGTTTCCACTATTTACTCAACATTTGGAGCTTTCTACATCCCATTAGCATTGATTTTGATCCTCTACTACAAAATATACAGGGCAGCAAAGACATTATACCACAAGAGACAAGCAAGTAGGATTGCAAAAGAGGAGCTGAATGGCCAAGTCCTTTTGGAGAGTGGTGAGAAAAGCACTAGACTGGTCTCCACATCCTATGTGCTAGAAAAGTCTTTATCTGATCCATCAACAGACATTGATAGAATTCATAACACAGTGAAAAGTCCCAGGTCTGAATTCAAGCATGAGAAATCTTGGAGAAGGCAAAGGATCTCAGGCACAAGAGAACGCAAAGCAGCCACCACCCTGGGATTAATCTTAGGTGCATTTGTAATATGTTGGCTTCCTTTTTTTGTAAAAGAGTTGGTTGTTAATGTCTGTGAAAAATGTAAAATTTCTGAAGAAATGTCAAATTTTTTGACATGGCTTGGATATCTCAATTCCCTTATAAATCCACTGATTTATACAATCTTTAATGAAGACTTCAAAAAAGCATTTCAAAAACTTGTGCGATGTCGATGCTAGTTTAAAGAAAATTTATTATTAAAGGGTGGGTTTTTCGGGGGAGGGAAGTAATTACATGAAGGCTAAATAATAAAACAGTTAAACTTTTAGAGGAAAATATATTACAACTGCTAAAATGATAAGAATATAATTTATATTTTAACAGCAACACAAATACAAAATTTATTGATTTGATCATTATACTAGAGTACTCAAAATTAGAAAATAATTTATGCAGGTTATAAACAATAGTTTGCCTATGCAATATTCCTAAAAAGCTAACTAAAAAAAGATATATGTATAATATTAGTGACAGTGACTTTTTTAGGTCCATGTCTTACAACAATTATAGGGAAGTTTTCAATTAACAACATACCTTCATCCATAATTCCTATATAATCCTATTGTTTTATTACACAATTGTTACTTTCTAGAAAAGATATAATTCATCACAAAGCACACATCTCTCCTATCTAGCCATTCTTGCCCCTTCTCCATCTTACCCGTAGTGAAAGGGGAGGGGGGCATCAACTCTTATTTAGCATGTCTGGAAGAAATGTAAAGTCAGAGATTGATATTGCCTTTGTATTTAGGTAGTAAAGAGTAATCATAAAGTGGATTAGGTATGGCAAAATAATTCTGGAGGAATTCCTTCCTCCAAGAGGAATTCCAAAATAATTCCAGTAGAACTTGTGCATATTTAATATACTCTGTTTAATATAAATTTCTGGAAGACTATTATCTTAACCATATCTTATCAACATTTGAAATCAAAGGGGTGGGGTGGGTTGGAAGTTGTTATGACTGCCCCTTGTTTATTTAGGAATCAAATTTAAGGTACCAAATATCCTAGGTTACTTACCATAGTTGTTATACTCCTAATATCTTTTTAAAAATGTAAAGTACATTTCATTTCTGTTAATATTAATAAGCTCAGTTACTGTCTGTGGTACTTTGCACTTTAGCATCTCCATACTTTTCATCTGAACACTATTTCCCTTTTATTATACACAATGTAATAGGAACTTTTAGAACTTTCTATTGACTTTAAAAAATCTCTAGTTTTCCAATAGGTAGAAATGAACAGGCAAAGACTCACGTTGCACTAATTATATATGTATATATATCATATTATATATCACAATTAGTCACTGTATTAGTTCAGTGAGCCAAGACAATTCCATCAGTGTTTCTTCCATATTTATATAGAGATTTGAAAACAATGGAACCATGCTTTTGAGAAGATTTTATTTTATTTGAACCAGCAAGATAATAGACTACCTTTGGGAAGGGTTATCATCAACCAAAATCATATGAAAAACAATATATACCTTTTTTTTAAGTTGTGCCTTTAAGTTATATATATTGTAAATATTCTTTCCTGTTTGGGGTGCATAAGAGCGCATTATAGCAATTCTTTATTAATATATAACTGTAACACATTACTCTTAACCTAATAAATATTTACATTTTATACAAGACATTGAGATATGTACTAGATAGAAGATTCAGGAAATAATAAAGTACAGTTTCTTCCCTTAATATGTTTGCAATCTAAAAGGAAAAACAAGAAAAAAATGAAAACTGTAATAGAAAAGAACAAACAAAGACCTGGCAGGAAGTGGTTTACACAGTAACAATGGTACAGAGGCAAAATTGATCACATCTGATTGAGAAAAATCAGAAAAATTTTATAAAGAATGTATCTAAATCAGGTGTCAAATAAACAACATTTGTACATAGAAAGGAAAGAACATACTCCAGGTAGTGTCAACCTCAGGAATACAGACCACATCATGCAAATATTTGGTGAGGAATGCTCATGAAATGCCAGTGAATTTGCCAACTATTTAAAACAATAGAGGAAAAGGAGATTAAAATAAAAATTGGGCATTGTTGTGGCTAAATTTCAATGTCAGAAAAAGAAGTCTTCAGTTTTATTGCTGTCAGCGAATGGTTACTGATTTTTTTAGCAGAAATATTACAAGTTTAGAGCAAATCTAAAAAAAAATTATCTGACATCTGACTGGATTTCAGTAGAGAGAGTAGTGGAGATGACTTATTGTTAGACAGCAAATCAATAAGCCAGACAAGAGATGATGACGCCCTGAACTTGATTCTGGCAATGGGACTAAAAAGGAAGAAACAGATGAGCGATGGTGTGAAAAGGTAGAATTTACAGTTTACAGCAAATTCTTTAAGAGTCAGTCAGAGGGAAAGACATGAGTCACTGAGATAATGTCCTTAACTGAAAGGAGGAACTCACCAGAAAGGGCCTATTGGTGAAATGATTACTTCTTTTTGGAGTAGGTTAACCACATAAAGACTTGTCAGAGCTCATAGGCCCTAATGACCATGTCTGGCCTAAGCAAAACTGACAGGTGGATGAGGTTTCTCTATGACCTCAAAACTGACAGGCCAATGAGGCCCCCAGCCACTTCTTCTGTCCTTGGTTCACTTCATCTTTCAGGGCTCTTGTGCTGTGTTGACAGTCAAAGCCTGCTATAGAGCCTCTATCATTCTCTGCTTCCTTCCCCTACCCTGTCTCACGTACCAAAGTTTGATCCTGTGATTTATTAATTCAAAGACCTTGCTAAAGTTAAAATAATCTGTTAAATTAGTTTGTTTACACTCATCTCAGAAATTTATATACCTATATATTGGGAAACTCTAAGTCACACAGCCCATCAACAATCCAAGCGGAGTAAGGTTCACCTAAACACAGATAACTACTCTCTGATCTGAGTTGGGATGAAGCTCAAATCTAGTAGAATACCATAAGTGAAGGGTTTATTTTTGTTCTACTTGTCTAAATCTTTTCCAGTGAAAGATGTTTGAAAGGCCAGGACAAGGAACCAAATAAAGACAGGAAGTCAAACCACCAGATACTAAATTCAGTAATTCAGTACAGTAGTCTATAATTAGATATAGCTGTATATAAACTGTGCTTAAAAATATACTTCTGCTTGAGAAACATGGTCTTTATTGTAGGACCAGTTTAAGAATATAGATTTCCTAGGTTAATAGGATTCGGGTTTTTGTTTTTGTTTTGTTTTGTTTTGTTTTATAATGACCCACAGGGTCAAATCCATAACAGCTTAGCCAGGTACTGGCAGTTGCTGGGTCCATTCTTAAGTAGGACCAATTTCCATTTTTAATCTCCAAAACAAATCTTCCTTTCCCTTTTCTGACAACTTTGATTCCCTACCTACCCACTCCAAACTTGCCTAAGAGTTACATGTTCCCTACTCATATCAGTTATGTTAGTTTCAAATTTAAAAATTCCTTTAGCAAAGCATAATCCACATATTCACTGGCTCAATGTTAAGCTTCTCTCTCTGTTTCCAAGAGTTTTTTGTCAAAAATAAGTGGAGAATTAGCCAGAAGCCAATTACTAGTAAATAAATACGTTGATTTGCTCCACCAAATATCTTGAAAGTGGGGATGATCATAAGTTTATTGCTGAAATCCATTCCTTTACTTCAAGGAAGAAATTATTTTCTCAGGAATTTATACAAGACTATTTTTAACTTATAGGTCAGAGAATTAGGTTTACTGTATTGCAGTACAAAGGAAGCATGAAAGATTTTTCCTTACCATATCACAAAATCCTTCAAAAATAATCCTGCTTAATTCAAAAAGTGTCCATATCAAAGTAATTTGTTTCAGAAAATGTGTTTCTAAAATCTTTCTAATAACTAAAATGATTCTATGCAGACCTTTGTTTTGCTAGAAAGTATTTCTGAAAGCAAATTAATATTTTTTATGAATAAATATTTTCTTATGATATTATGATAAATTTTCTTGGGCTTTTGAATCAATATGATGACTCTAATTATTTAAAATAAGAAATTTATTAAGAGAAATGTCCAACATTTTAATAAATGTTGGGCTATTGATATAGACTATCTTCTCTGTGCAAAACGTGGTACACTTCAAATTCACCACAGAAGGATAGAATTTTTTCAGAGAATTTACGTTTTCTGATTAGACCAGAAATCTTAAAACTTCTATTTGAGGAAAAAAATATGATGTTATTTTTATAACAGTAACAACAATAAATCTTGTCAAAGCAACTGTCCATCAAAGTTTGTGTTCAGTCACAGTTCTAATTTTTACCATGGAGAGTTTCTACCTTTACAAGGACACTAAAATGAACTTACTAGTTTATGTAGATGTAGCAAAGCTTCCTATGCTCCACAACATCTTTTCATTATATTTTCTTAATATTCCTCAACTATATTTAAATAACATTCATGACTAAAAGTTATACTTATTATGTATGTTGTATCATTTTTAATTATTATACAATTATATTATATGGCTGGATCTGCTGCCTTGTGGTTTCCCCCACTCCAACCCAATTAATAAAGGAAAAATTTACTCCCCCCACTTCCCCCCCACACACACAGATACATATTGACCATTTTTTCTTTGTGTTAGTTGGCTTGGCTAGAATTTGCATCTATCTATAACCATAGTAGAATGTGTGTGTGTATGTGAGAGAGAGAGAGAGAGTGTCATTTTGCAAAACAAGTTCATGTTAAGGATAACTGAACTGGAAAAAAAATTGACCTCCTTAGCATAGCACACTGTTCAAGATGAAAGAAGAGTAGGAGGGAGGCGAGTTTGCAACAGGAAGGAGAAGGATTTCAGATTTTAAAAAGCAATGTGCGTAAGAATCAACTGTGATGCGCGTAACAAAGGCAAACTTCAAAGATCTCAGTCGGTGAGTTCCCAGTGGAGTCCAAGAATCTGAGTCTTTACCTAGGATCACAGGTTACTCTAAAGAAGGTGAAGCTTGGAGCTTTAGTTCTAGAGACCACTGCGTTAAAGTTCCTAGTTAGTTGTTTTGTGGGACTATAGTTATGAAATAGTGAAAATGAGACTTCACCACTATTTAATCTATTTAATAGATTCTCACTCAGAATCCAGAAAAATACTTTGCTACTACTACATGAAAAGCACCTAATGGGCAAAACTGAAGTGAAACAAAAGTAAAAATCACATCAACATTGCTTAAGTGGATTGTAAAACATTCAGCTTATTAAAAAAGCTACTGAATCTATTTTCAATGAGCATATTGTTTATATTTTGGGGGCAAGGAATAAAAGTTTTTCATTACATATAAAGCAGCAGTTTAGAGGAATAGATTGGAAATCAGAAAAGGCTAAATTTGAATCCTGTTCTACTAATCAATAACTTGATTCTGAGCAAGTTTCATTTATCCTGCTTTTCTTGACTATAGTTGAAAGACTAAGGAGAGAGATAAATCAAATGCTCTTGAAAAACCTATAGGCCTGCAAAATAGAAATGAGCATTATTTTCATTATTCTCTAAAGAAAACCTTGTAGGAGTCAGAGGGCATTTGCCAGGGAACCTGGTTTACTGTAAGGCTCACTGCCTTTCTCTGAGTCTGGAGAGAAGCAAGTAGTTGATGCCCCCTGCTCCTGGCTCTCCCTGGTAGAGCATTAACTCCCCACAACCCTATTCACAGCTACAGAAATGCCCCCTGTGGGTACTCACCAGTCATTTCTTTCACTGTGTTCCACCATCCCTTTTACTAAAAGCCTAGCATATTCAAAACCTGCCTAGCTTTCTAGAAGGATGTAATTTGATCTTTCCACCCTATTAGAATCATAGCTGCAATTATTCCAGCATTAATTTCTTCTATTGATGGATTCAGAGATGATTTCCCATATGTTCCAGATTAGAGTTTTATTTTCATCTTTTAAATAATAAGAGGAAACTTTCATTTGAAATGAGAATTTTAAGTTGAAACAAAACTAGAGGATTAATTTTAGGCTCTATTAAGTATTAGAAAAAAATGACTAATTTATATAAGAATATTAATACATAAAGAAACCACTCAATAATGGCTCCCTGTTGCTTATTACATTGCATCCAGACTCTCTAGCTTGGCTTTTAGGGTCTTAATATTAATAACAACAGTACCACCATGTGGAAAATCTTACTTCCCACTGTTTTCCTTAACCCCAACAAATGCTCTGTTCTCCAATCTGGTTCCTCTTCCCACTGTCCTCACAATGTGCTTTCCTCATTTTTATCTTCATTACTTTCTTGGTTTTCCATCACCCCTCACCTGAAAGGCCACCTCCTTGATGTTAAGCAACGTGTCCTTTAAAGTACAGAGTTAATTCCCCTTCCCCCTTGAAACTGAATCCATATTGTTCTTGAAGTCAGTATCACACAATATTATCTCCAAAAATTCCTTATTCAGAGTCAGACGCACAACCGTTGCACAACGAGGTTCTATAATTCCTTATTTGTCTTAAATTCCCCAAATTTCTTAATGAGTGTTTGATTTTTATGCCAAAAAAAAAAAATAGTACTGTAAGTTACTTAGAACATGTGTTTATTTCTTTATGTCCTTCCCACCCTTATATCAAATATTTTTGAATACTGATCTCTAAGTAAACCTGGTCCATTTCACTGTGTTCTAGTAACTAAAATATAAACTGCTGATTTATCTTTAATCCTATATTTAATAAAAGAAATACAAGTGTATTATTATAAAAAATAAAACTGAGAGCTTGCTAAAAATAGGAAAGTAGTCCTTATTTTTTAATGTTTCATGATAATGAAATACATGAAATTCATACAACACTAATTTTCTAGAAATGTCTATGCATAATAAATTTCAATATGCTGTTTGGTAATTATACATTGTTAAATATGCAATATATGAAAATGCTTTACCTTGCCTATTTCTAAAGGTGATATTTTGGTTATTATTTAAAACAGATAGAAATAACAAGTAAATCCACTTTATCATATTAAAACTAAGCTATTGGCTTCCAACTCACCTAATGTGAATGTACTCATACCCCTTGCTAATCCCAGTCCTTCTCTGTTTCACAATTTGTGTGTGGATAAAAAGAAGATAATGTTTTCAAGTAGAAAATAACTCTACAGTGAAGTAGAAATTGCAATATGTTCTTCAGTTCAAAAGAAACGGCTCTTCCTGAGAATATAGAAATCACTTTGTATATTTTTAAAAGCTGGAGAAACAACATTTCTAACCAGTTTCACCAAGCTCGAGCATCTTAAAACAGGTAATAAGGTTCACACCCGCCTCACCATCCTATATAATTATGGTACAAGCACTATTAGGTTGACCCAATATAAAAATGCCAACTCTTTAAAACTGTACAACACTACAGCAAACACCTGACAATCACACCAACCTTGTGAAACACACAATATGTTAACTCTGACTAACTGACCTGGACTCCCCTTGTTCTCCAGGGGCCTGTTTGTCATGGTCATTCTTTTATCCACAAACTCAGGTTCTCATGACATGTCTCTAGAAAAAGGGAAATAAAAGGTAAATTGCAAGTTTATATTTTTATCTCTTGTGTCTCTATTTATGCTGGTGTTTCAAAATATGAAACTTAATTCAACAATGACTTTTTGTCATTTGCTTTTGTCATTAAGCTTTGTTTTCTATTTGATCTTCCTATTAATCTAAAGGTTTAAATACTATCTATTCTACTTGCCATCCTTATACAAAACTAACTCCAATTATAATTGCATGCATACATCAGGAATCTTCTGCTCTTTTCCCTATTCTCATTAGTACACATATGCAGAATATTTGGAGGCTCAGGTTGGATAATAGATTTCTAATATTTGTATTTTCCATTAAATAATGTCTGAACTAGAGTTGTATATGTATGCTATTAAACCTCAGCCAAAATTTCAATGCATTTTCTTTCTCAAAATCTTCCCATTAATTAAAAATAATATATAAGTTGTTACCCTTAGTTTTAAAAAAGATAAGAAAAACCAGTTAAGTTTATTTTTAATGATTTTAATATCAATTACCCAAACTATAGAAAATGTTCAAACATGGATATTAGTAGTCTATGAAGTATAAAAGTCTGCCCAGTTTGTTACTGTTGTTGAGGGTGATAAAAATAAATGTATGCTGGAATTTGATGTTGCTTAGCTCAAAAACACAGCAAAATGTAAAATAAATGATATTCTTCAAATAATGAGTGTTGGCTTTAACTTAATGATTTCAAAATTTCCTATAGTGTGCTTTTAAGAAAAGTACAAAATAATAATGATGTGCACTAGACATGGATTTTAAGTGTCTGGGTGTCTTCCTATAGTGTTTGACAAGGACTGAACTATAAAGCGGGTCTCCCTCATTTGACCATGACATCTACCATAACTTCACCTCGGTACTTCACCTCACCTCACTAAAATTAAAGAGTGAGCATTCTCATTTTAAAAATTCAACTTAGAACAAAGGCATTTCCTTTATTTTCCTGACTTAAAAGAATCAGTTAAAGTACTTACTGAAATATTGTTATTAAATATTAATGGTATTCAAGTGCAAATGTATTTTATTCTGAGTTCCAATCTCACATAAGGATAGCTTTGAATATAATCACGTTGGACTATTATTAAATTTCGAGAAACAGCTTCTTTCAACTGTTCCCTCCCAAAATAAATCTTGAAAGAGACAAAAGGAAAAAAGTGTTGGCATTTAAGAAGATGAGAAGAAAAAGTTACAATGCTGGTTAAATAAATATGTTTGCACATATAGAGAAAAGTGTATCTTCATTAACTTTAAGGAAGCTATGTTAGAGGAAGCAATCGAAAAATACCAACATTTGCACCTATTCCCAAATATCCGTGAAAGGGAACTTCCTGGAGAAAAGTGAATTTGTTTGCTTTTGTTTGTTTGTTTGTTTGTTTCCCCTTTTTCTCTCCTCTCCCCCTCCTCCTCCTTTTGGTTATAGTTTCACTTTAATATACCCTAGCCACAATTTAGAGAGTGGAGCTTTAGAGGGTTTCTGCGACTTGATTGCTGAGAGGTTAAACAGAATCAGAAGCCAAAAGACTATTCTACTGCAGATGTAAAACCCACAACCACGTCTGCCCCCTTGCGCTCGCTTTGGGGCTTGGACCGGTTCTTAGGAGATCGCGGGCTCGGTCGGAGCTTGGAGCATGCGCAGTCACAGTAGCCTCGCGGGTTCCCTGACTATGCTGACCTCTGCGTTTCACGGCGGCGACTGGGTTCATGCAGGCCTAAATCGCAGGTGCAAAGACCAACCTGTTTATTTCCTACTACTCAGTTTGCTGGTAACCATTATGCCGCACAGTGAATCTCTGTTGAATCTTCAGAGCAAACTGTATCTTGTACTTTGTCAACTTAACTCAGCTGAATTTAACTTCGTGATACTAGCTTAATTGGAAATTTACCTGTTCGAAGATAAGGTGCCCTTATCATTTCTTGATACTGCTCTTGAAAGGATCTTACGGGTATCAACTAAAATAGAAGCTTTCCAACTGACCAAAAAACAAACAAGCAAAAAACTCTCATTTTCTTTTATTTAGGAAGAGGATTTACAGTACGGGTTTTTCTAGCTCTTTTCCAAGAATTTGCAGGAAAGAATAAGACAAAGTATTTCTTAGAGACATGAAATTTCTTACTCAGAAAAAATTACATCAAACTTTTAGAATGTTTTCCTTCTTCTTCTTTTTTTTTTTCTTCTTGTTTAATGATTTGCAATTTAACTATGATGACTCTTTAATTTGGGCTTCTTCTAAGTTGTCCTCTTTAGGGGTTCAGTGGGGGTTCAGTTGTCCTCTTTGGCGGTTCCTGGACCCTGCTTGTTTTCTTCCACAAGTTCTAAAATGTGCTCAGACAATACTGTCAAATATAGCTCCTACCCCATTCTCTGTCTGTCTCCCTTCTAGAATTCCAACTAGGTAAATATTAAACTATCTTCTTCCATCCTTCATGTCTCTTTTGTGTTTTCTACTTCTTTATAACCCTGGGTTTCAGTTATAGACAATTTTGTGTGAAATCGTCCATTGAGTTTTAAATTTCTATTTTTTATTTCTAGAACTGTTGGGTTTTATACATCTATCTACTCTTTACTCATGATTCTACATATTTTTATTTTTTTAAACATTGAAGACAAAGTTATTTTTATTTTTTCAGACTTTCAATTTGTGTGTCTGAAGAACTTTGAGCCTTAACATTGTTCATGCTTGCTCTCATTCTTGGTGCCTTGTTTTTCTATGTGTTTACTCTGTACTTTGAGCTTCTCATTTTCATTTAAACTTTATCTTTTGGAAATTCTTTGAGGCCTGGGATGAAGGTGGATTCCTTCATGGGAGGACTGTCTGGGGGCTGTGTCAATTTAAACAAATCATTGACTTGTTTTTTGCTTTTCCATGTGTGTGTTTCATCCACCTCATGGTGTGAATTCTGAACACAAACTTGAATGGAAGCCAGATTGTGGTTATGAATCTTCAGGAGAAATTCTTTCCACCTCCAATCAGAATCAAGGTTAAATAATCAAGTTTCAATACAGGAAATTTTCTTTTTCTTCCGTTCCAGATTAGTGTCAGGGTTTATTCTTAAATTGAGAGGATAACACTTTGGAGTTCTTGTTTTATATAGAAGGTATCTCCTAATATAATCTTGAACTTGTATAGGTCATGAGCTTTGTCTCTCATCCCTAAAACCTTAAAAACTAATCATCTGTGCTCAGCAAATGCCATCAAGGCAAAAAGCCAATGTTAGTGCTTTACTGTTTGCTCAGGGTTCCAGCCTTTAACTTATTTTTGGACTAGGTAGTATTTTCCTTTTTTCCCAATATTTGCATGCATTTAAGATTTTTAAAATATTTTTACTCAACAATTTTAGTTGTTTTCTGCAATAGGATATGTTTAGGTACTTAATCATGTTACCAGTAATGGAAGTAAAATCACTTAAATTTGCTTTCTCCTTTGCATTAGTTACAATCATCTCAAGCCTTTACTCCATTTTATTATAATTTATCTTATCCCTTGCTATTACAATTTATTTATTAGATTTACAGATATGGATTGGTTCTCAGATCATTTTCTTCTTTCTGAAACCTCCTTTTAACCTGTTTATTCTAATCGTCTTGTTTTTTAGCTCTTCTTTTATTGAATTATTTATTTTGTTATGTTATTGCATAGCATAAAACATTCATGGGGAATCTGCTTCTGCAGTTTGCTTTATGCTTACTTCTAGACTTTTGCATGTTATGAACCTTAAGTCTCTCCTTTTCCCTTCCTTCCTTTCTTCTTTCCTTTTTTCCATTCTTCTTTTCATTCTTCTTTTGTTTGTTTCCTCATTCCTTACTTTCATTCTTCTTTTGCTGGAGGACCCCTGAGTGAAATCCCACATCATTCCTTCATTCTTTTATTCCTTCCTTTCTTCCTGTTTCTCCTTTTTTACTCTGCTATAGTTTCATAATTGCTCTGTCATTTACCTGTAATCAAATGCTTTGATTACATTTATCATCAGGTATTACTACCCAGTTCAAAACAGCATAGATAAATTTTCTTTGAATCATTTCCCATCTTAACTGTAATCAGCTAGTCTTTCCTTCAAGCATGGGGACATACAGGGGTGGCAGGGTTTGTAGCACTGCTATGGAGTATTCGGTTTTTGGAGACCTGGCATCTGAGTTCTTTGCTGAGATAGGATCATGAGTGGATTCTTGAACTGGTTGTCCTTCAAATATTGTCCTGTTCCATGAAAGGTATTAACTCTATTGGCCTTTCTTATCTCTGATCAATTCCCAAGGATGTAGTTGGGATTTTATTTTTGTGGGTCTCTCTTTCATTTTCCTCAGGGCTGCCTACTTAATTCCTCAGTCTGTATATTTCCAAGTTAGATGACATTAGTGAGAATTTTCAGGATACTCTAGACTCATTTTCCCCAATAATTCTTCTGGAAGGTAAAGGCAGAGTTAGGAGGCATAATACAATGGGAAAGTATTTTCTGTTTCTTGCTTCACCCCATTTTTCTTTCATTTATAGTATTAATTTCTGACATTGTTTTGTTGCTGCTGGTAAGTTTTACCCTTCTCCCCACTTTTAAAGTTTTTATAATTATTTATTTGATCACTTACTTAGGTATTAGAGAATCCTGCTTCATTCTCCTGTCCTTACCCAAGTAAAACTTACTTTAAACATACCATCTTGTATGGAACCAACCTAAGTAAGTGCTCTTCAGCTGTTGAGTGGATAAAGAAAATGTGCTACACATACTCACACACTCACCCATGAAAAAGAATGAAATAATGTCTTTTGCAGCAACTTGGATGGAACTGGAGGCCATTATCCTAAGTGAAGTAACCAGGAACAAAAACAACAAATATTACATGTTCTCACTTATAAGTAGGAGCTAAGCAATGGGTATGTATGGTCATTCAGAATGACATAATGGACATTAAAGACTGAAAAGGGAGAGGGTGGGAGGGGGGCTGTGGGATGAAAACTTACCTACTGGGTACAATGGACACATTCAGGTGATGGGTATCCGAAAAGCCTAGACTTCTCCACTATACAAATCATCCATGTAACAAAAAAAAATCATTTATATCCCCATATCCCCTAAAACTATTAAAATTTTTTTAAAAAGGAAATGAAATAAATAAATACTATCATCATGCAATAAAAATCATCTTTTTATGGATAGCTTAATTTTAGAGAATAAGGTTCCAATTATATATATATATATATATATATGAAGGATAATGTGTTTACAACAAGAATAATTATTCTGCTTAAACTATCACCACCCATAAAAGAAAATACAAGTAGGAATGAAAGACAAGATAATTATTTTTGTTGAAGGGTATATAATTCTGGGTATTGGCCAATAGGATACCGCACAGGAGAGCCAGGGTGCCCAGTATTCAGAGCAGTGAGTAGGTCCTTGTCTAGAAGAAAGCTCTTAAATTACAGAGGAATAAAGTGTTACTGAAAATAAATTTTACTACTTTTTCACTAACAGCCCAGCACTTGTTTTTATTTTTTTTTTAAGTCACAAAAATCTTTCTTATGTCAAGACAAGCTTCCGGTGTTGACTTTAAATAATATGAACAAGCATTCATGCTTTATTCATAATCAATTGCTGCTGCCAAACCCGAAGTCTAAACATTTAAAGAACAGGGATTTGCACTACTACTTGCTGCCCTCTGCAGGTGAATCTAAAAGTCACAGACAATACTAGAATTGTGGAAAAAACAAAAACTCTTGTATTCATTCCAATTCAGCTGTACATTAACGAACATGAAACAAGAACGCTCATGAAATTGCAAAGTATTTCTATTTCTATTGTATAGAGGCCGTATGACTGGGAACTATTACATGTTGGAGCATGGAAAAATGAAGACTTCTCTTTCTAGTTTAGCAGTAAAAGGAAAAGAGAAATGTGCTTAAGATAGAAGTTATGTGTTGGTTTGGTTTTGATTCTTAAATAATAGCATAGTTGAACATATAGGTCGATATATAAAGCATTACTTGATACATTTTTTCCCTGAATTTTCTTTTCATTAATTGACTCTCATTCAAAGAAACTTTTCTGGAATAAATACAGATATTGGCCTTGATACAACTATAACATAGACAAAATTTAAAAGAGTATTTGTTGCATTCAATTCCTCCAATGATTAAGTGTAAAATGTGGGGATAGATGATAGAAAACCCTGGAATGTATTAAGGACTGTGAAAGTTAAGGGGTTCTGAGCCTGCTTTCCTTCCGGGATGCTAAGCAACTGGAGATTTTTATTCCGCAATTTT